ATATATATATATATATATAATTTTAAGTATATTATAACATACTTTAATAATTAGATCGGTTAAATTTATATTATAAAAAAATTATTAAAGTATAAAATTTAGTATAAATTTTTAAACTTGCACTAGGTGTGAGTAAATTATAATCACAATAATAAAATTTGAATATAATACTTTTTGTATAAATAAAAAAAAATATCTTATTAAATTACTTTTTATATTAAAGTGTTTGAATTGTATATTAAAATATTAAAATTTTAACTTACAAATAACACGAATTTGATACTGTGACCATAAAATTTTAGTTTAACAAGTAAAATTATAAATTAAATAAAGTATTATTAAACTTCAATTAACTACTAAATAAAAAATAATGTTTAGTTTAAAAATTAGAGACATATTATTGATTCAGGGCACTTCTCTCATTTATGATTTTTACTGATAAAAAGAAATTAAAATATTTTTTTATTGGCTTGTGTTTTGTTAGGGAGAGACTGACAGGTAGAGGTAGTATTGATTTAGAGAATATAAATGAATACAGCGACAGATCACAGATGGATACCTATGATTGGAAGTTTGAGGAGGCCACAACATTGGTCATTCAAATGCGTCCTAACGTTACGTTGGGTACATTTGTGTCGGCCATTCATCCACTTACCCAATCTTTAATCAACATTTTTCTTAGGTTTCATTTTGAGGGCTAGTACCTACATTTAACTCAGATTTATTTTACATTACCATCGCTCAGTAAATTTATTTTTATTCTCTTCAAATTAAATGTTAACTAATACAATTGAAAGGTAATTAGGCTTCTTAAGTGTGTGTCTTAATTTTCTAAGCGAAAATTCCTTTATGTAAATATATTGGGACAGCATGAGTTTGAGTTGATTTGTTTATTCAATTATTTTTGCCTCACTATGTTTCTGTGTAGTCATGAATAATGAAGATTAATTACTGGCTACCATATAATTAATCCATGCCTATGGATTTTCTTTATGCAATCCATCAGATTCATGTTTGTTTGCCTTGAGACATTGCTTGATGGGTGCTAATTTAATATGCATTTTGATACTGGCCCAAGCGTTAAAGCCCAAAAGAATTACTATCCAGCCCAAGAAATATAGTGACGATCTAATGGGCTTATGGTATCCACGTGGATGCTTTTAATTTCCCGTTTGAATCTTTTCCTTCATAAATGAGAAATGAAATGATGTTTTATTTTCTATCTTAGTTTTCGGCTAACAATTTTGTGCTTTCATGAGCTTACCTTATGCTTCCTGAAACCATTCCTTCCCTGGCCCAGAAGTTTTCCAACCTCCAATTTCAACTGGATAATCAAGCCCACCGCACAGTCATTATATTTCTTGGGCTGGACGGTAATTCTTTTGGTCGGTCTTGTTTGGGCTTTCAAGTTTGGGCCACTATCACATTTGTTTGAAATTATTTCTAAGGAAACAATTGCTTATTTCTCAACTCTTTCAAGAAGTTGGGAAATATAAGTATTTGTTTCAATATAAGTTCAACCGATGGTTACCCAAAAACAAAGAAAGAATCCACCAAAAGCAAGGCCAAGCTAATCTCAAATCCAATGTCTCTAATCTATTCTTAATAGTAACGATAGGCATGAGATGGGCCTATTGACTCTGTTAGTACATGGACCTTTTCGGCTCAAATGTAGTTGTTGTTTCGACTTTTGGACTTGCTTTTGTGTCAGAAAATTATAAGGTTCATGATATATACACCTCCTTTTTTCTATAAGTACATCTCTTTTTAAATAAATAATTAAAATTTTAAAATATTTTTAATTTTTTGTTTTAAATTTTTTAATTTTACATCCACAACATTTAATTTAGTTTTTTTTTTTCACATATATTTCCTCCATTTTTCAATTTTTACATGCACCCCCTTATTTTTCCTTCACTTCACCTATTTTGGTAGTATGTAAAAATTGAAAGAAAAAAAAAAGTGTGTGAATAAGAAGAAGAAAGTAGCAAATTGAAAGTTAAAAGTGTAAAATTAATTTTTTTTTTAAAATTATAATATTTTATAATTTTTTTTAAAAGAAGGAGGTGTACTTATAAAAAAAAGAGGTGTATATATCATGAGCCAAATTATAATTTGCTTTTGAGAATGAAAAGGAAACGGGAAGCATTGGATCAAATTTTGGGCCTAAACTTTAATTGAAGTCCATAAGTGGACCAAAATAAAAGAATTCCATATATTATCATTATTCATCATTTTATGTGAAAGCTTTTGTCGTATTATTTTCTCCACATGTATATATAGTAAGCAATTCCGTTTGAAATACGGTTCATTCAACATGGATAGAGCCATCAAACTGAGCTCCAACCCGTGGATCAACTTGGACCACCTTAAAAACAGGCTGGACCAGACTAAAAAAATAAAAATAAAAATTATCATGAGTCAAAAAATGTGATCTGACCCACTTTCGACTCGGCCCATTCAGGTTGAATCTGTAGTGAGTCGCTACCCACCTGACCCACTTATCAACTCATCAACCTAACCGACTAACAACCCATTAACAACCTACTAACAACTCATTTAACTATATTATTATTATATATGTATTATTTTAATAAGATATTATTTTTTTGTAGATAAAGATAAAATTAATGTTAAATAATATGAAATTTCTATAAATTTATCTACCTAAACCTCCAATAAAATTTAATATTGATGAATAATCACTCTCATGAAAGGATTTTTATTTTTTTGTTTTGATTTTTTAAAATTACTTTTTAATTTAAGTTTAATGTTGTATCCATGATACTTAATTTGATAACTTTTAATTTAGATTAGAGATTATTTTATATTGAAATTTATTTTAAATTAATTTTTTTAAGAAAATTAAGTGGGTTAGTGGGCCAGCCCGTTTAGCCCACCAACCTATGGTGGGCCGGACGTGGCTAGAAAAATTTGCATAATAAATTTGGTGGACTGGGCTGGGTCAACCCACTTAAAAAGTGGGTTGAGGTGGGCCGGGTCAAACGGGCTGGACTGGTCTGTTTTGACAGCTCTAAACATGTCTTTTCTAACATAAAACAAATTAATAGAATGTAACACACAGCATAATAGACCATAAAAGAGATACGTGTCTTTGTGTCATCAAAGTGACCCTTTTGTTAATAAATAATTATATATATATATATAGAGAGAGAGAGATATATAGAGAGAGAGTTGCAAATGTTTTGCAATAAAATGAAAATTATGTGAAGGTGGTTATTTCAAGTTATCTATTTTTGTTTTGGAAAATACAATAATAGGAATGAAACTTTTGAATACCTTCAAAAATATATTTGATTAATAATTAAATTTGATAGATTTTTTGTTT